TAAATCAATAATTGTTTCTGTATTTAAAACGCAAATACCATTTTAATTGACTCAAAATGGTATTAAATGGTATTTGTTTTAAATATACAGAAATTATTGGTTTAAATAAAAATTATTTGGTTCAAGTAAATATATTTATTTGATAATAGTCAAGTAACCGATTATTTGAATCAAATAAATTTTTTTTTCCAGTGTGTAATCGCATATTTCATGACAAGTATTACAATTAAATTGCATAATGAATTCTATATATATATATATATATATATATATATATATATATATATATATATATATATATATATATATATATATATATATATATTATGTGAAGAAAGTGTAAAAAGCTTTTTGAATTACAATTCATAATTACTGGGTGTGCAATTACCCAATTATAAATTTGCAGAATTACACACGCGAAAGAATGATTGCAAACTGGGCAATTAACTTTCCTTTTGTTGCACATTTATAATGATAAACATTCTGTTTTCATGTGCCATTCGTTTTGTGAAATTTATTTTCCCTCTTTTTCTTTTTTTTTTTGTTTACTTTCTCATAAACAAGATGTTGAAAAATTAATATTATTCAATGACATTCTGTTTTTTTTTACGAATTAACTTCGTTTTTTTGAAATAAAATAGTAAAGACAAATTTGAGATAAAAATAGAATTTTTTTTTTAGTTGAATAAATAGAAATGAACATTTTATACTCGTCTGTAGCACTCAATGTAATTTGCGTTAAAAGGGTTAATGTTTTTTTTTTTTTATTTATTTTGTATAGTCAAATTTTGAATTTTAATTGGATGTCAAAGTTTTGAATTACCCATTTGGGAATAATAATGGTTAATTAAATGTTGTAATGATAATCTCTCTCTCTCTCTCTCTCTCTCTCTCTCTCTCTCTCTCTCTCTCCTCTCTCTCTCTCTCTCCTCTCTCTCTCTCTCACTCTCTCACTCTCTCTCTCTCTCACTCTCTCTCTCTCTCACTCTCTCACTCTCTCTCTCTCTCTCTCTCTCTCTCTCTCTCTCTCTCACTCTCTCACTCTCTCACTCTCTCTCTCTCTCTCTCTCTCTCTCTCTCTCTCTCTCTCTCTCTCTCCTCTCTCTCTCTCTCTCTCTCTCTCTCTCTCTCTCTCTCTCTCTCCTCTCTCTCTCTCTCTCTCTCTCTCTCTCTCTCTCCTCTCTCTCTCTCTCTCTCTCTCTCTCTCTCTCTCTCTCTCTCTCTCTCTCTCTCTCTCTCTCTCTCTCTCTCTCTCTCTCTCTCTCTCTCCTCTCTCTCTCTCTCTCTCTCTCTCTCTCTCTCTCTCTCTCTCTCTCTCTCTCTCTCTCTCTCTCTCTCTCTCTCTCTCTCTCTCTCTCTCTCTCTCTCTCTCTCTCTCTCTCTCTCTCTCTCTCTCTCTCTCTCTCTCTCTCTCTCTCTCTCTCTCTCTCTCTCTCTCTCTCTCTCTCTCTCTCTCTCTCTCTCTCTCTCTCTCTCTCTCTCTCTCTCTCTCTCTCTCTCTCTCTCTCTCTCTCTCTCTCTCTCTCTCTCTCTCTCTCTCTCTCTCTCTCTCTCTCTCTCTCTCTCTCTCTCTCTCTCTCTCTCTCTCTCTCTCTCTCTCTCTCTCTCTCTCTCTCTCTCTCTCTCTCTCTCTCTCTCTCTCTCTCTCTCTCTCTCTCTCTCTCTCTCTCTCTCTCTCTCTCTCTCTCTCTCTCTCTCTCTCTCTCTCTCTCTCTCTCTCTCTCTCTCTCTCTCTCTCTCTCTCTCTCTCTCTCTCTCTCTCTCTCTCTCTCTCTCTCTCTCTCTCTCTCTCTCTCTCTCTCTCTCTCTCTCTCTCTCTCTCTCTCTCTCTCTCTCTCTCTCTCTCTCTCTCTCTCTCTCTCTCTCTCTCTCTCTCTCTCTCTCTCTCTCTCTCTCTCTCTCTCTCTCTCTCTCTCTCTCTCTCTCTCTCTCTCTCTCTCTCTCTCTCTCTCTCTCTCTCTCTCTCTCTCTCTCTCTCTCTCTCTCTCTCTCTCTCTCTCTCTCTCTCTCTCTCTCTCTCTCTCTCTCTCTCTCTCTCTCTCTCTCTCTCTCTCTCTCTCTCTCTCTCTCTCTCTCTCTCTCTCTCTCTCTCTCTCTCTCTCTCTCTCTCTCTCTCTCTCTCTCTCTCTCTCTCTCTCTCTCTCTCTAAATTTGAATTAGTGAGAATTCGTTCAGTAATTAAAATTAGTGGAAATTTTCAACTAATTTTTAGAAAAATATTACTATTTAATTTAGTAGTATCTTTTTACAAAAGTTTTAGTCCAAAATTACCGCAAAAAAATAGTAGAAATTTTCACTAATTTGTTCTTTAATTCAAATTAGTAGAAATTTTTACTAATTTTTAGTGAAATATTACTATTTTAGTTAGTACTATTTTTTTAGTAGTATTTTTTTACTAATACTTTTTTTACTAATACTTTTTTTACTGATATACTTTTTTTTTTACTAAAGACTTAGCGAAAAATGACTAAATATTAGTAGAAATTCTCACTAATTTTTAGTAATTACTACGATTTAATTTAATTATAACTTTTTACTAAAGTTGTAGTCAAAAATTAGAAAAAAAAAATAGTAGAAATTTTCACTAATTCGTTCTTTATTTAAAATTAGTAGAAATTTTTACTAATTTTTAGTAAATATTACTGTTTGATTTAGTACTATATTTTTACTAAATTTTTAGTAAAAAATTATCAAAAAAAAAACAAAAAAATAGTAGAATTTTTCACTGTTTCGTTCTTTAATTCAAATTAATAGAAATTTTTACTTATATTTAGTCAAATTTGGGTGATTTAGTAATATTTCCTACTAATACTTTTTTTTTTTTTTTTTTTTTTACTAAAGTTTCAGCAAAAAATGACTAAATTTTATTAGAAATTTTCACTTATTTCTATCATAATATTACTATTTCATTTAGTAATATTTTTTTTTGTAATTTTTGAATTTTTCAAAAATGATTAAAAGTAAATTTAAATTTTTCCCACTTTTTCGTAAAATATGACTAATTAACAAATTTTCAGTTTTTTTTTTACTTATTCTATTAGTAATTATTGAGCAAAAAAAAAAATCATTATTCCCTAAAATAAATAAATATAAAATTAAAATATACCTTTCAAGATTGCTGGTTTTAAAACTGACCATAGCACAATTCCCAATATTTTTTACACATGATGTAATCAACAAATCACAGATTTAACAATATATATGTATATATCACATGAAAGGTGAAACTTTTTTTTTTTTTAAATTTCTTCACATATGATTCATTTCACTATACATATATATATATATATATATATATATATATATATATATATTGGTATACACTCACAGACAAACACACGCACTAGAATACCACACAGTTACACATTTTTATTCGTGTTACCTGTTTGACCAGGTAGGTAAAATACACGGGATAAAGGAAAAAAAAAAAAAAAAAAAATCAACACGTGAAAGAAGCCACTGCAAAGCAGCAGACATCCGCCACAATGCGCGTTTCCGAAGAGACTGAAGCAGCCACGCTTCAAGTCCAGTTTACCTCCTCTCTAACTATTTTCAATATATACAACAACCAAAGTCGCCCTTTTTCTTTACATGTTTGTCCTTTCGTTTCCCATGACAACGCATCGTTCACTAAAATTTCTCCCGCATTTCCCGCTCAAAAAAGAATAATAACAATAATAATAAAAAAAAAAAAAAGTATTATTTTAAAAAAATTTTAACATAATTAATTAATGTTGTTGAATTAATTTTAATTAATTAATTAATGTTGTTGAATTAATTTTAATTAATTAATTAATTTTTTTTAAATTAATTTTATTAATTAATTAATATTTGAAATAAAAAATTTTGTGGTTAATTTAGAAGAAATAATGAATTACGAAAGATAATATAGCAGTATAGTAAATTTTAATCAACATACTGGGAAATTTTCTAGTAAGTAGATCAAAATTTACTAAACTGTCATGTAATCTTTACTAGTTTTTTTAAATTATAAAATTAAGCTATTAATAAGAAATTATTTTTGTAAAATTCTTCTTTCTCGGAAAAAAACGGTAAATTAGTAAATAATTATTACACAACAGTATAGTAAATTTTAATCTACGTACTGAAAAATTTTCTAGAAAGTAGATTTAAATTTACTACACTGCCATGTAATCTTTACTAGTTACTATAAATTATAAAACTTTTTTTTATGAAATTAGATTTAAATAATTTTCCTACCTCGAAAAAAACGCTAAATTAGTAATTATTATTACAAAATAGTATAGTAAATTGTTATCTACGTTATAGAAAATTTACTATACTGTCATGTAATCATTACTATATTCTTTAAATAATAAATTTAGGCAGTTTTTATAAAATTAATTTTATGAAATTACTAATTTAGAAAATTCCCCTTCCTCCAAAAAAAGGAGCAATAAATTAGTAAATTATTATACTTAAACAAACAAAAAAAAAAAAAAAACAAGAAAAATGTAAAACAGGTGAAAATTTACGTTCCCTCATTTTCGCACGGGAACAATTTCGTGTTGGAAAAAAAAAGGAACTCGAAGCCATTTATCTACAAGTTAAGCCAAGATAATCGTGAAAACTATTCCAAATTGATTTTCCCTAGAGATTAGTTCCTGGAAAAAAAATATATTATGAAAGAATGTAATTTTCAGAAGCTATACAAGATTTAAAATTGAAGACACATTTTTACCTTGAAATAAGATATCTGCTAATTTTTTTTTTTTTTTATTTTATTTTCTTTCAAAAAAGTGTGCGGTTTTTGTTTAATATTATTATTTGCTTTAAAGAAGCGAACGAGGAGGCGGTGAACAATAAGAAAAAAAAAAATGTTATGGGAAAGATGGAAGCGTAATTTTGTCTTTAAAGGTGACAAAAGGAAGACAGAAAGAGAGAGAAAGAGAGAGAGAGAGAGAGCGGTATTCACCTGACGAAGGTAAAATCGCGTTCTACAGGTGAACGGGGAATATATATGTATATATATTGAACAGGTAAACCGATCTCTTTCCCCTGGTCATTGTGCTCACCTCAAAGATCGAAAGAAGAGGTTCGAAAATTTTTCAAGGGGATGGTCTCAGGACTCTCAGGTATGTACATATATAAATACAGGTTCTCACATTTATACTTATATACCACGAAAGAAAAAAAAAAAAAACTTTTAACAAGTCGAACATCACAGGGAATAGTTATACTCAAAATATATAAGCGCCACTCATAAAAGATAATGTCTTCCAATTTTCAAGGTCTCTCCAATTGCCTTCTGTGTATAGGATAATAACAAAATTTTTTCTATAATTTTCGAAATATTTAAAAAAAAAAACAACTGTTTGTATCCAATTAAAGTGTTCATTTTAAATTGAGGTTAATTTCAAAATATATTTAGGGGTACTCTTTAAATTAGTAATAATAAAATATTATTTGAAATTTCGAAAAATATCCTAAATTACCTTCAAGTACTCTAAATTAGCTTCAATTATTTTTAAATATTTTGTATTTTCTTGAAGTATTTAAAGTATCCTGAACTATATCTGAAGTATCCTAAAATATCTAAAATATCCAAAAATATCTAAAGTATCCTAAAATATCTAAAGTATTATGTATTATTTAATATTCTAAACTACTGTGAATTATCTTGAAATATCCCTATTTAACTTGAAGTATTTTAAATTATCTTAAATTATTTAAAATTATCTAGTATTTTGTTAATATTTTAAAATATTCTAAATTATCTCAAGGTATTTAAAATTATCTGTAGTACCTTGAGTTAGCTAAAGCATAAAGTAAATTATCTCAATTCGTAAAAGATCCTGAATTATCTATCTTAAAGTACTGTAAATAATCTGGAAATAGTTAAAAAAAATTTTTAATTATTTTGACGTAGGTATTTCAAATTATCTGCAATACCTTTATATCTAAAGCATAACGTGAATTATCTGAAGTTTCGTGAAAGGTTCTGAACTACCTTAAAGTTCTCTGAAGTACCTTGAAATATTTTAAAATACTTTTAATTATCTTCAAGTATTTGAAATTATCGGAAGTATCTTAAATTATCTAAATCATAACCTGAATTATCTAAAGTTTTATGGAATATCTCAAAGTACCATGAAGTAGTGTTAATTATCTTGAAATATTTTTAAATATCCTAAATTATCTGTATAGTACCTTGAGTTATCTGAAGCAAAACCTAAATTATCTGAAGTTTTGTGGATTATCCCGAAGTACCTTAAAGTACTATGAATTATCTTGAACATTTATTTATCTATAGCATAACGTGAATTATCTAAAGTTTCGTAAAAGTTTCTAAAGTACCTTAAAGTACTCTGAAGTACCTTGAAATATTTTGAAATATTTTTAATTATCGTCAAGTATTTAAAATTATCTACAGTATCTTAAATTATCTAAATCATAACCTGTCTTATCTGAAGTTGTTTAGAATATCCCAAAGTACTGTCAAGTATCCTACTGAAGTATCCTAAAATACTTTGAATTATTTGGAAATATTTTAAAATATTTTAAAATATTTTGAAACTTTTGAATTTTGAAAAATTTTATTTATATTTTGAAGTATTTAAAATATCCTGAATTATTTCAAGTACCAATAAAATATTTTGAACTACTTTAAAGCATATGTACAACAAAATTTACAATTCTTTATCCCTAAGGTGAAAAAAAAATTTTGTTTTTCAATAATTTAAAATTAGCTGTAGTAAATTTCAAGCTTTTGAATATATATATACCTAATATATACAATAAAGGTAAATATTTAAGTTTATTATTACATACAGTTTAGTAATTATATAGTAACATAAACAAGCGTATATATTATATACATATTGGAGGTATAGAAGCCAAGATCCAAGGACTCTCTCAGATGCTTCATGTCAGATTAACGCGATTAGAACTTTGAGGTACATTGGTCTTTGTGCCCAAATAATTGTTTAGCTTTGCTCATTAGCAAGAAACTTGGAATTATACTCAGGAGCTATATATACAATACAAGTATACGTGACGTCTGCGTATACACCTTGTACTGTATCAGATAATGAGAATTTTAATCGCTCCCTAAACCATTATTATTTTATTTTCCAAACATATTTTTCTCAACAAAAATTTTCCTAAATAAAACCCCAATTTCTTTTTCATTTCTCTTCTTTATTTTTTCCCCATTTCGCATTTTTTTTTTCATTTCCTTTTTATTTCCGTATTTTTGCGATTTCAATTGAAAAAAATTTCTTTTTTTCGGTTTAAAAAGTGCAATTCGGCAAACGCGAGTATTTTTTAGTTGATTTGTTTTCAATTTGAAAGTGCATAGTGCATAGTTAACGGGATAATATTTTAAGTGCAGGGTTCCGAGCGTTAGAATGATATATATGTGTGTGTGGGTGTGTGTGTGTGTGTGAAGGCGAAAGATGCTCCAGAATTGCGAATTCGAGTGAGAATCTTCAATGGGGAAAGTTTATGCCACCAATAAATTCTCATGGGAGCAAAGCCTCTCCCGTCTATCTTCTATCAAGATGTCAGGAACAAAAGTCTAGAAAAAAAAAAAAAAAAAATTGAAAAGAAAATTTTTCCCTTATAAGCACCTGTGTCATGTAAACAACTGAGATTATACTTGTTACTCAATCTTTTCAATGCCAATAAATATATGCTTATCACGATTTTTTTTTTACATTCTTATCAAAAATACAAAAGTATTTTTAAACACAATTACCGCACTTGTATCTATACAATATTTTAAGAAGCATAAATAATCTTTAAAATTAATGGGTACCCAAATTTTCAAAATTTTCATTAGAATTTATTTTTAGCCGAATATTTAAATTCTATTTCGCCGAATGGAATACTACAGAATATAAAAATAGAATCTATATCATTTACTTAAACGGAATTTTTTTAACCCTTAACTGGCACAATTCAAACGTAAATAGCACAACGGGTCTGCTGAACCAAAAGTATTCAAACGTGTAATGTACAGCCGATATTGAATATTTTTGCCCAAAAATTTAATCTGAGGTACCTTATGATATGTTTTTTAAAATTTCATTATAGTTTTTTACAGGGATTATTTTAATTTAAGTTAGTTAAAAAAAAATTGTGAAAAAAATTGCGTGTTTTTACTTAAAAATTTAAGAGTTATTTAAATTTTAATATTGTGACTTCAAAATTCAAGATTATATACTATTATTCTTTAAGAAAAAAAATTATCACAACAGCATGACTTGCAAAAAAGGTTATTTATTTTTCAGAAAAAAATGCTCGGGTCTACTGGACCCATAGTGCCAGTTAAGGGTTAATTAAAGATAATTTATAAATACAACCACTTTAAAATGTTTCCCTATTCCCTCATATATATTTTCCCCAATTATTCATTATCTAGTATGAAACACTTGCTTTTTGCCACTAAATCCAATTCCATGCAGAAATTTTGAAAGGGCCCTAGCAGGGCCCTGATCGGGTAATTCCAAATTTGCATGAAACAGAGGGAACCCGATCGGGGGCCGCACCTGAAGAAGCCCTATTTCAGCCCGATTAAAATCGATTAAAACCGAGGCCCGACCAGGGCCTAGTTTGGTTTCGCTTAGGTTCCCTGTTTCAACCAGGTTAGGGCCAGGTTGGCGAATTTCTGCACGGGATACGACTCACTAATCACATTCAACAAATTTCTCCATCGCTCATTTTTTTTCTTCTCTTTTCCATATTTTATATAATTTACAAAAGATTCTGCAGTACTACCAATATAAAAATATCACAATGTAGAACATAACATATAGTGTTCAAACGAAAATGTCACAAAGGGGGGGTCTACTGGACCCATAGTGCCAGTTAAGGGTTAATAATTTTCTTTTAAATTCGAATTTGACTGAATTAATATTTGTTCGAATTTAAATTATACAGTCAGAAATAAAAAAAATAAAAATTCGTTTACGTGACAATTCTGTAACTTACAATTAAAAATTTATGGTTAAATGAAATTTCTGTTCAATAATGATTCGAAAAAAATAAAAATTTTGAAAAATTCTAGCAAATTAATTTTTTAAAGAAGAAAAAAGAAAATAAAAAAGGGGGGGATTGTATAATTAATAAGCATGATACGTAATAGGACACTGAGGAGAGAATATCAGAATTCTTGTATAAATTTAAATTATGGAAAATGTAGGGGAAACATTTCTAAGTCTCCACAGGAAAATTACATATCCTTTCTCATTTAACAACCTTCTCATAAATCAAGTCGCGTAATTGTGAATTCTAATTTTCTGGAACAAAAGGAAGCACTAATCGTGTCTAAACTTGACGCAAGCCAGGAAAGTGACTATTTCTATTATTATTATTATTATTAAAATAATAACAATAATATAATAGGAATGTACCGGAAAAAAATACACACGTGTCTAAATTGTCCAAAGAGGAAACTTCTATTTTTTTTTTCTTACTCCATTTGCACGGCAGTTGTTGAACACGTGACACTCTTGAACGAAAAAGGAAACCATATGGGGGGTGACTATTCACATTTTAGACCATTTTGAAGAACCTATTTCCTCTTTTTTTCGAACAACTTCACAGGTATACATTATTTTTCCCGGCATTTTTTTTTTTTTTATTTCTAATTTGTTTTTTCTTTTAATTTTTTTTTATTTCGCAATTTTTTTATTTACTCATAAAAAGTTTATTTGACTTAACAAAATCTAGTTTTGGTTTGAAACAAATTTTGTTAGTTTTCTTGAAAGTTTAGTTTAGTTAGTTCAAATAAAAATTTAGTTCATTCGAATAAAAATTCCCCTTAGTTAATATTGATTTTTCTCTACTTTTCTAAGAAAAAAGAGAAAAAAATTAAAAAAAAAACATTGTTATACTTATATTTTAGTCGAGAAGTACGTGCAAATTTATAGAATGCAATTTTTTTTTCTCCACCAGCGAAAAAGTTATACACTTGGAGTAATTTCATGTATTCTTCTTCTAGGAACAAAAACTTTGTGTATGCGCAGAAATAAAATCACATAAGGGCAACGCGTGAAAAGTTTTCAACAAGGAACGCCACTTTGTTATATATACTCAACTTAAGAATAATAAAAAGCAGACGAAAATTTTC